ACTATCTTTGCCAGGGTCATTGAGCCCTCAGGGAAACTGAGGCACCATGCAGAGCGGGCACAACGGGGCAGAGCTGGGCTGCAAACCTGGGATTGCTGCTGTGTGGGGCAGACACCCTACCAGGGAAGGCCCTCCCCCAGCCCCCCCCTCCCAGAAATCTCTTGACAGCCACATTCCCCAGCTTTCGGACACTGATTACTTCCTCCCTTAACCACAGGTGTGAGTGCCACCTGCCAGGTGGCTGATAGGCGCTGCTTGTCATGCTCCTCCAAAAACATCACTCCTGGGGCCGCAGATTATTAAGGCCAACCACTCAGGACATACAAATAGGGCTGCAGGGTCCTGAGAGCCAGAGACTGGGAGCAGGAGGCTGGATGAGGGCTGAAGCTGGGCTCAGGTTGCAAGTGCACAAGGTGGTGTGGGTCCTCCTGGCCACCTGTTGGCGCTGTGGCCTCAGACAAGTCTTTATTCTCTTGGACCCTCTGTTTCCTCTAGGGGCCAGGTGATGTAATGGTTAAGTACTTGGCTGCCTGATGGAAGGCTGTTGGTTCAAATCCACCCAGAGGCTCAGTGGGAAATTCGCCTCCATAAAGATTTCTATCCTAGGAAAACCTGTCGGGCGGTTTCACTGTCACACACAAGTCAAGATAAACTCTAACGAAAGGATCTTGGCAGCTGCTGCCACCGCTTGGAACCAGCGGACTTCTGTCCCCAGTACCTGTTATCACTTGATTTTTTCCAAAAGTCCCAAATACCCCAATTTGGATTTCTAGATGGAGACGTTGAGACCAGCCCAGGGGCTGTGGGAACTTGAGTGGGCCACCCCAAAGGGTGAGAAAATAAGCCCCCTGTACTGCCTGGAGGTGGCGTGCTAATGCCTCCGGCCGCCCAGCACAAAGGCGGGGCAGGTGGGGCAGAGATTTGAGTCACTGGCACCACCAGCTGAGGCCCTTTCATCTCTGTAAAGAACTGGGAGCAGTTAAAAAGGGGAGAGAGTAGAGCAACCCAACATGGGGATGGAGTCCTAGAGGATATGCTGCGGGGTGGGGTGTGGATTAAAGGGGAGAGTGGGCTCCAAAGAGTTAGGGACCTCGATTACTCAGCTCAAAGGAGGGCAGCCTGGCTACTCTAAGAGAAGGGGTCCAGGCAATTCAGCGTGAGACATGGGAGTTCAGTGGGGGAAGCGAATATGCATTTCCCTCCACTACCGAGAGAGCAGAGAGCAGCCCACCAGGGAGGTTTTGGCAGTGTGAGATCCCACCCTTCACAACACTTCCCAGTCCCAAGGCAGTACCTAAACGGGGAAAGGGGATCAGAGAAGGGCACCTAGAGAGGTCCTAGCAAAGGCTTGCTTTTTACTAGGGAGGTAGTGAAGGTTGAGCCCTCCTGCTGATCGCTGTCTCCCTTCTCTCCACCTTCGCAGACCGAGCTCTGCTGCAGGGCGCCCCGGACGCCGTGGACCTGCGCGACCTGACTCCCTGGGCGGGGCGACCTCCAGGTCCGCGCCGTCGGGCGGGGCCACGGCGGCGACGCGCGCGTGCGCGCTCGGGCACACGGCCGTGCGGGTTGCGCGAGCTCGAGGTGCGCGTGAGTGATCTGGGCCTGGGCTACACGTCGGACGAGACGGTGCTGTTCCGCTACTGCGCAGGCGCCTGCGAGGCGGCCGCGCGCTTCTACGACCTGGGACTACGGCGCCTGCGCCAACAGCGGCGCGTGCGGCGGGAGCGGGTGCGCGCGCAGCCCTGCTGCCGTCCGACGGCCTACGAAGACGAGGTGTCCTTTCTGGACACGCACAGCCGCTACCACACGGTGCACGAGCTGTCAGCGCGCGAGTGCGCCTGCGTGTGACTCTACCTCACCGGGCCTCGCTATGGCCCCGTGCCAGACTGACCATGCGCAGGAGATGCCGTCGAGGCCACAGGACTGACTCTCACGATAACTGCATCAGAGATAAAGTGTGGGAAAATGGAGCCAGCGTCGTGTTTCTGCGCAACCTTGGGGAGGGTACTCATCTCCAAAAAAAGGGGCGCATGAGGGAAAGGTGCCGTCTCTACAGGGAGAAGCGAGGGTTAAAAGGATGTCATTTAAAACAAAAAGAATGTCATCTTCAGGGGTTGATGGGAATATCCTGTCTGGTTTAGATGGACAAGATGCAAAGACAAGGATAAACGAGGCGGGGAGTGTTCTCGGGAAGCAGCCTCTCCCCCTTCCTGATGGCCTTTAGCCTTTTCACACTCGGGGCTCCTGCTGGGAGAGTGGGGGGGGGGGAGGATTAGGGTTGGTGGAGAGTGGTGAAGCCAGTCTGCTGAAGAAGAGGCTGAGGTCTAGGTGAACCGCAAGTCTTCCTTCCCAGATGGGACCCCACAGCCTGACTCTACCAGGGTGGACTTGAAGCCACTATCTCCTTTCACCAGCTAAAAATACCCAAGCAGCCCACCTCCTGGTGAAGAAAGGTTTGAGACAGGCGCCAGCCTCATGGGCTGATGCCAGCGCCTGCTGGGGCAAATCTGGGCCCCTGAGACCTAGGTCCTGGCCCCATAAAAGCCCTGACCAGCCTCGAGAGGGATTTACGACGAGCCCCTGTGGAGAAGGAGAATGGAAAAAGCTTTCTGAGTTGTTTAGATTTGTCCAAGTTGTCACCTTGGTACTTGACAGGCCTGGGACAGGGTGTTGGGTTCCTGTGGGTCCCACGGTCTGAGAAGGGGCGGTTCTGAGGGAGGAACTTCTGAGTTAGCTCCTGGAGCCTCTGGAGGGCACATCCCCCAACTCTAGCGTGAGTGTCCTAAGCCAGGGTCTCTCCCCTCCCTGGTTCTGTCCTCTCCATCTACTGCCCCCTCCCATCTGTCCTTATAACGGAAGGTCACAGGTCAGAAAGTGACTCCAGAGAGGATCACGCCTGGCTCACTGCCCCCCAGGCCTCTGGCTGCAGCTGGAGACCTGGGGGACAGCTAAGAAGCAGGACTTCCAGGGAGCTCGAAGCACAAGGTTTGGCTGCAGGACCAGCCCAGTGGGTGGTCTGCTCGGAAGGCAGTCCTCGCCTCCAATGGCTGGCTGGGGTCCCTGTCCGCCCCCGCTGTCTTCTCACTGAGGTTTGGGGGTGGGTGGGCGTGGATTCCTCCACAGTTTGAGCTGAGTCAGCCTCATCATGCAGCGAGGCTAGAGTCCCCAGAGCCTCAGTTTCCCCATCCGGGTGGACCAGGGAGATTCCCACCAGGTTCACATTACTGAGGCCAGGACACAGAGTGGGGAACCTGGTGTTCAGCAGAGCCCAGCTGCGTGCGTGTATGTGTGTGCACCCTCCCCGGGCCTCCCGGGACCTCGGCCTCCCACAGAGACCCAGCCTCCCAACCACAGGGCGGGGGCCCAGCCTCTGGAGAATTCAATGTAAACAGAGCTGCCCCCACAGACCCTGGAGCTGGGGCTCCCAGCGATTCACACAGCAGAGCAGAGGGCGGGGCTGCCACAACTCACACTCACATACACAGCCACACTCACGTCCACACGATGCCTGGAGACTCCTGGACCCAGGAGGACCCAGGTGGACCGGGGAGCACACAGCCACACTCCCAAAATCCACTGCACCAGCTGCCCATCCTAACACTTTCTTACAGCGTCCTCACAGGCACAGAGCGTGGCCCCCTCCCTGCAGCACACTGAGGCATGGACACGTGGGGGCCACTCATTTGACAGGACAGGCACACACACACATGCCTGGGGCAGGCTGGGAGACCCATGTGGTCACTGTGCATGCAGAGTCACACGGTCACAGCAGCACCGCTGTCACACACTTGTCACATCCAGGGTCCCTACCACCCTACTTGCTCCTGTACACACAGCGTTACAGCCACCCCATTCACCTGACACCAGCTCTCAGACACACACACACACACACACACACACACACACACACACACCTATATATGGCCTCCCCCATCACACTCAGAGTCACAGTCCCCCAGGGCTGCACACTCACATGCTGGCTGTGCCACACCTGGTCACACACACACATCAGCCTGGTGTGGTCCCCCAGTTCATCCTCACAGCCATATACACAGCACCACACCCCCCTCACAAGGCAGCCTCCTCCTCTTTCCTGCAGAGCCTCAGTCAGCCCCATCCAACCCCCTTGCTCCAGGCTTAGAAGGTGTCTTGTGCAAGTCCTGTGGGCATTAGGGACCCTTGACCCCATGTCTACCTGCTGCAATCTCCCTGCATGCCAGCTGGAAGAGAGGGCCCCACAGGGACCCTGTGACCCCTGGGGACTGAGCCCTTCTGTGGGGTGGCTGCCCTGTGGACTGTGCCCTGAGCAGCACCCTGAGCCCTGGCCACTCAATGCTGGCAGCAGCCCTCCCCCCATCATGACAAGACAAGTGCTCACCCCCTGGGTGTGGCATGCTCTCTAGAATAAAACCTCACAGCACCCGAGCTGGAGAGTGGGGACAATGTTGCTGACCCCAAACTTCATGGGCAGTAGACACAGCGTGGACAGTCATGAGAGACCAACCAGATCCATCACTATGGCCAAGGGCCCCTTCCCCACTGCACATGTGACTTGACAGGAGCAGTTCTCAGCAGGTCGCAGGAGATGAGATCCTAAAAGCTGAGGGCCCCAAAGGGGAGGCCCCAGAAAGACCCCCACTAGCAGAGGCTCTTCCTACCAGATGAGGCTCTTTGGCAGTTGAAGTCCTAGGAGGTGAGGTCCCAGCAGGTGAGGTCCCAGCAGGTTAGGGTCCTAGCAGGTGAGGTCCTGGCAGGTGAGGTCCTGGCAGGTGAGGTCCCAGCAGGTTAGGGTCCTAGCAGGGGAGGTCCTGGCAGATGAGGTCCCAGCAGGTGAGGTTCCAGCAGGTGAGGTCCCAGGAGGTTAGGATCCTAGCAGGTGAGGTCCTGGCAGGTGAGGTCCCAGCAGGTGAGATCCTGGCAGCTGATATCCCAGAAGGTAAAGTCCCAGCAGGTAAGGTCTCAGCAGGTGAGGTCCCACAGCACACACCACAGGCCAGGGCTCAGGTGAACCAGGAGGCAATGCTGTGCACCGTCTGGTACCTGGCCCCCTGCTGCAGCTCCCAGCAGGCCTTGCAGTAGTTCAGGTTCCAGTTGAAGGAGCAGGGCCGCAGCGTCTCCCGCCAGCGGAAGTACTTCTGGTAGTTGGCCTGGTCCTTGTCCAGCGCCTGCAGGTGCTGGGCCAGGGCTTGGGGGCTGGGGAAGTCATCCACATGGATGAAGGCCTCAGGCGGCAGGAAGCGCTCGTAGTTGGCCCTGCTGGGGCCCAGCACCACCGGCACGGCCCAGGCCTGCAGGGCATTCCGCCACAGCTTCTCCGTGATGTAGTCCTGGTGCAAGGAGTTCTCAAAGGCCAGGTAGAACTTGTACTGGGCCAGCTGTTCCATCATGGTGTCGGAGGACAGTGGCCGGTGGGAGCTTCCAAACACGTCCACGTCCAGGTGCAGCTGCAGCTGCTTGTAGTAGCGCACACGGGCCGAGCTCGCCTGCCAGTTGGATATCACCCAGACCACCAGCTTGGTCTTGGCCGAGAGGTGGGCCAGCACGTCGGCCCACTGGCCTGGCCATGGCTCCAGCCAGCCGTAGGGCGTGAAAATGTCTGAGTCTGCACGGTAGGACATGGTCAGGTTGAAGTAGCCGTCAAGGTCCTTCAGGTGTGGGCAGTGGGAGGGCGACTCCATGCTGAACCAGACCCAGCGCTGGCCGGGCGGCCGAGGGGAGCGTGGCAGCTTTGTCCGCACGTTGACACTGACCTCACGGTGGTGTATGAGGACGGCGTCTGCCTGCTGGTACATGCTGCGGCTGGCGGTCAGCTGGCAGGTGGCCGTGCCGGGCTGCAGGCTCGAGCAGGGCGACAGAGGGACGGGGACGTTGAAGGGCCATGTCCACAGCAGGATGAGCAGGGGAGGGCTGGTGGTGTTGAGCGGGCGGGACTTGTTGGCAGGGTTGGTGGGGGTCTTGCCTGGAGGTACGCGGAGGTAAGAGAAGAGGCAGAAAGCGAGCAGCAGCTGGAGCAGCACCCACCCGAGAAAGTGGCGCCAGGAGGACGGTTTGCTGGACGAGCCGAGGGGACCCATGAGGAGACACGGAAGCTGGAAGGGGAGAGCAGAGCAGACGGTCACGGATGACAGAAGCCACAGCAAGTCGGGATCACCATGAGCTAAACGCCTCCACTCCTGAGGGAGTGGTGGGTGCTGTTGGGTCAGGTGAGACTCACAGCGACACTGTAAACGACAGATCTGCCCCCTGTCCTGTCCTGTCCTGTGCCGTCCTCACCATCTCCGCCACCCTTGAGCCCATAGCTGCAGGCACTGTGTCAACCCATCTTTTTAAGGGTCTTCCTCTCTTTTGCCATCCCTCCCCCTTCCCAAGCATGATGTCCCTCTCCAAGAAATATCTTCTCCTAACAAAGGACCCTTCTCCAAGCCAAAGAGTGTGAGAAAGAAGCTTTGCCTTCCTTGATCCCAAGGAGCGCTCTGACGGCATCTTCTCTACGACATTCCTGTTTGTGTATGTGGCCGTCCGTGGGATACTCGATGCTCTTCTCTCATAACTCACAGGTGTCAATCCTTATCGTCAGGTGCCATCTAATTGTTTTCAGAGGGAGTCTGTAGAACAGACTAAAAGGCCTTATAGGATTTTCTAGGGAGGGACCTTGGTAGCGCAGTGGCTAAGCCCTTGGTGGGTAGGTCCCACTCCGTTAAGACAACCTGACAAGATGTAAAGGGCAGTCTTTATTGCCCATGGCTATAGCCCAGAGGGCAGGATATGGCAGGACCTAAGGACAAGAGGAAATGAGAATCACATGTAGGGAGTGGGAAGGGTGTGGTGATGGTGTGGGTTCCATAATGCGTGTCAGCAAAATGTGTGTTATGGACAGTTGAATGGAAAGACAGTCTACTTCCTAAACTCTCACTCAAAGCGCGATAAAAAAAAAATACTTCAAAAGAGAGCTCCGGTGGCCTAGTGGTAAGGAACTGAGCAGCCAGCGCGAAGGCACACAGTTTAAATCCACCAGATGCTCAGCAGGGGAAAAAATGGACAATCTCCTCCATTGCAAGTTACAGCCTCTGAAAAACCACTGGAGGACAGACCATGATAGCAACAACACTCCTAAACTAGAGAGAATACGTTTCCAGAAAAAAATAAAGGAAAAATTTTAAAAAATGAAACAAACTGGCAGTTCCAGCCACTCAGCAAATCCCTGGTCATGTGCACCCAGAAGGACGAGAGCCAGGAGAACCTGGGGGGGCCTGCTCTACTGTCCCCGGGGTCTCTGGGAGTCAGTACCTACTCTGTGCCACCGTCAGCAAATATCTTCCCAGAAGCCGATTGCCACGACTTGCCTCTGTGGAGTTGTTGGGTGGATTTGAACTACCTATCTGTTGGCTAGCAGCCAAGTGCACAACCATTATTATTCCTATTTTTCAGATGCGAAAACTGAGACCAAGTGCCTCCCAGCAAGAAACTGGCAGAGCTGGGACTTGACAAAGGCAAGCTGGCCCCAGAGTCCACATCTTCTAGCCTGGGGTCCCTGGGGAAGGTGGAATGGGCCCCAAGAGCTCTCAAGTTGCACCCTGACCCTGCCGTTCCCAGCTCCCCAATACTCAATCTGAAGAGAAAACACAGCAGACTCTAGGTGCTTGTAGCCCAGGCGAGGTCGGGATCCAGGGCTGACTCTGCCTGGGCGGCAGGACAAAACAGTTGGGCTTTGACAGTTACGTAAGAGCTCGCCAGGTGGAGGTGAAGCTGGCAGTAGGGACATTCCTAGCAGAAGGGACAGTCAGTGTGAAGCTCTGGAGGCATCAGAGGGCTGGGCCTGTTTGAGGGAGAACTTCGTTTCACTCAGTTGTTCAGTTACAGGAGTCGTTGGGTGCAGTGAAAAGGTTAGAGGTTCAAGTTCACCCAGAGGCACCTCAGAAGAAAAGCATAGCAACCTCCTTCCAAAGGGCAGCTTCTGAACCCCCGAGGAGCACAGATCTCTGACCCACAGGGGGCTGCCTTGAGCCGAGGCTGAGACTGAGGCGACTGGCAATCACCATGTGGCCAATACTGACCCCCTGCTGGCCAAAGGGATTGACCACATGTCCATACAAGCCAAGCCCGGCTCCCACGGTGGAGTCTGTCCCTCCTCACAGGGACCCTCCACCGGGGTTCTCAGGCTGTAAACTGAAACCACAGGACACTGCCTGTTTTTCTCTCAAGGAGCAGCTGGTGGATTCGAACCACCAGGACACATGGCTGCCTGTGGGTCAGCACTGACACACCCTACCGACAGTGCCACCAGAGTGCGAGTGCGAGTGTGTGTGTGTGCGCGCGCGCAGGTATGATGTTTTTGTTTGCCATCGAGTTGGAACTGTCCCCTAGCTGACCCTTCAGAGGCAGCTAATTGCAAAAGAGATTGCTCATTTTTAAAAAAATTATTTTTGTGTGTGTATACCGTCCAATCGGATCTGACTGGTACAGGAGAAGATTGTCTCTCCTTCTCCAGCAGAGCATCTGGTGGATTCGAACTATGTACCTCTGGGATTTGCGGTGCAGCTTCTTGTCACTAGGCTACCAGAGCTCCTTGAGATTGCTCATTTTTCTCTTGCAGAGCTATTAGTGGATTTGAACCACGTACCTTTGCATTAGGGAGCACTGGTGGCCTAGTGGCAAGAAGCTGTGCTGCAGTCCCAATGGCAGGTCATTCGAATCCACCAGCTGGTCCACTGGAGAAGGATGGGCAATCTCCTGCCATGCAGTTAACTGCCTCTGAAAACCTGCCAGAGGGTCAGCGATGGGTCGGTTCTGACTTGATGGTACACAACCACCACCACCACCACCACCTTTGCGTTGGCAGTGCCGATCTTTACCACTGAGTGCATCAGGGGTGCGTCCTGTCTCCATACCTTTTCAACCTACATGCAGAACAGATCATTTGGGAGGCTGGGCTTTCTGAGAGGGAATGTGGCATCAGGATTGGAGGAAGACTTACCAACAGGCTGCATTATGCAAATGACACAGCCTTGCTCACTGAAACTGAGGAGGACCTGAAGCATTTACTGCAGAAGGTCTAGGACTGCAGTCTTTGTGGGTTTTTTCCCTCTTCTTTTTTTTGTGAGGGGGAGTGACAGAGAGTGATGAGTCTGAGGAAAAGAAGGCTGTGTCGTGAAGGCTGGGGTTGAGGACTGCAGTCTTTAATATGGATTGTGTCTCAACATCAAGAGAACAAAGATCCTCACCGCCGAGCCAATTGGCAGCATCAAGACAGATGGAGATAAAGATTGAGATTGTTAACAATTTCAGCTTGTTCAGATCCATAATCAACACTCTTGGCACCAGCAGTCAGGAAATCAAAAGATGAGTTGTTTTGGGAAAGTCCGCTGTCAGGGATCTCTCCAGAACACTAAGGAGCAATGATGTCAGCTTAGAGGCTAAGGTGCACCTGATCCAGGCCATGGTCTTTTCAATAACTTGTTATGTGTCAGAAAGCTGTACAATGACTAAGGATGATGGAAGAAGAACTGATGCTTTTGGGTTGTTGTGCTCAAGACGAATAATGAACACACTGTGGGCTGCCATGTGGAACTCTGGTGGCCTAGTGGTAAGAAGCTGAATTGCAATCCTGAAGGCACACGGTTCAAGGCCACCAGCTGCTCTGCAGGAAAAGGATGGGCAGTCTCCTCCTGTGCGATTAACTGCCTCTGAAAACCCACTGCAGGGTCAGCTGTGGGTTGGTTCCAACTCAGCGGCACTCAACAACAACAGCATGGACTGCCAAGAGAACAAACAGGTCTGTCCTGGAGAGAGTGAAACCAGATTGCTTCCTGGAGGCAAGGATTTTGAAACTCCATCTCACATACTTTGGGCATGTGGCCAGGAGGGACCAGTCCTGGGAGAAGGATATCATGCTGGCAAGGGTGGAGGGACAGCGCAGGAGAGGAAGACCCCTGGATGAGATGGATTGACACTGTGGCAAGTGTGTTGGAGACACACTGAGATTGGCTCAGGATAGGGAGGAGTTCAGGGCTGTTGTTGATGGGGCACTGTGATTCATAGTTGACTCAATGGCACATAACAACAACAACAAGCCACCAGGGCGCATATGTTTAAACCAACAGAGCTCTGGTGACTAAATGGTAAGGAATCTGCCAACGCAAATGTCCATGGTTCATAGATTCGTGTCCACATGTCCATAGGGCAAAGGTGGACAATCAATTTATGCGCCATTTATTGCCTCTAAAAGCATTCTGAAGGGTCAGTCATGGGTTGGTTCTGACTTGATGGTTGTTGTTGTTGTTGTTGTTATGTGTCGTTGAGTCTCTTGCAACTCATAGCGACCCTATGCACAACAGCCCTAAACCCTGCTCTATCCTGTGCCAATCGCACTGCCTCTGACAGACCCCATCCCGATTACCCCAGTCACTGAATCAATCCACCTTATAGATGGTCTTCCTCTTCTGCGATGTCCCTCCACCCTCCCAAGCATGATGCCCCTCTCCAAGGACCTGTCCCTCCTTACAACATGTCCAAAGTATGTCAGATGAAGCCCCAGAATCCTTGCCTCCAAGGAGTAGCCTGGATTAACCCTCTCCAGGATTAATCCGTTTGTTTTCTTGGCAGTCCAGGGTACATTCAATACTTTTGTCCAGCACCACAGCTCAAAGGCCTCAATTCTCCTTCTATCTTCCCTAGTCATTGTCCAACTCTCTGATGCATAACAAGTGATTGCAAAGACCATGGCCTGTATCAGACACACCTTAGTCTCCAGAGAGACACCGTTGCTCTTGAGTATTTTAGAGAGGTCCCTAACCGCAGACTTTCCCATCGCAATACGTCTTTTAATTTCCTGGCTGCTGGTGCCAAGAGTGTTGACCATGGAGCCAAGCAAACTGAAGCTGTGAGCAATCTCAATCTCTTCACCACCCATCCTGATACTGCCAATTGGTCCAGTGGTGAGAATCTTTGTCTTCTTGACATTGATGGTACTCAGCAACAACAATATAAACAATATAAAAAAACCATAATAAACCTATTTTTAAATAATGAATTGGCAAACAGGTTTTTTTATACATAGTTTCACCACAAGAGAACAATAAAGAAAAGAAAT